TCGCAGAATGATGTCCACAGCCTGCAACAGAGGGCCCACGAGCAGAGTCATTGATCAGTTGGAAGCAGGTGGCAAAGCACAACCGCGCCCCAGCAACCAAGAATTCTCAGGCGTTGGAGGTGCGGCACGCAGAAGAGCAGACAGTGTCGGCAGTAGACGCTATCTGCCTGGATGATTCACAAATAACTGAGGCGTGCAGCCGTGCCCGCTGGCCTGGCTGGCAAAACCAACAGCCGATGCGCGGCCGACAATCTTGGGGACTGGCCGCCCGCTCGCTGTCAGCCTGGTGGCTCACCCGCAGCACGTAGGCCTTGGCCAGCAACAGGTGGCTGCTAGCACAGGGGGCTGCCTGCACCGCCTCCCCCAGCTTCTCCAGCTGCTTGGCATCCCTTCAGGGCATCAGAAGATCAGTCAGGTTGCAGCGAGGGACGGCGGCAGGGAGCGATGATGCTGTTGGGCAGCAGGACAATGCATGGTGACGATAATGCTCTTCGGTGCGGCAGGTCTTGCCCACATGCACGCAGCAGCAGCTTACTGCTTCCTCTTGAACTGCTTGAATGCCTCAAGAACGGGCTTAGGTGAAGCCTGCAGCGCTGCTGGGGAGGGCGGTGCGGCGGCGCCATCGTTGGCGGCATCGGCACTGGCCTTGGCTGTGTCCTGCCGGGCAGCCTTCTTCTTAGGAGGCGCCATCGCCGTCACCAGAGCTCTGCAAGCGCAGCCTGGGTACGAGGGCAAAGGGGCAACGATGATGAGGCTTCAGAGGGGGGGCACAGCACTACATCAAATCGCAGCCGCCTGTTCCATGTGGATTTGGGCACCTCCAGGGGGTGTCCCCCTGGTTTCACTATGTTCCCTGGTTGTTTATGTCACAAATGAATGATTGACATGGTCAGGGGAGGGGGACACCCCCCCGGGCATGGGAAAGCGGGGGCCGGCTGGCGGCGCATGTGTGCCGACGTCGGCGGGCTTTCACAGCCAGCAAGATGCTAAACACAGCTATTTGAGCTTTGGCTGCATCCCTGAAACACGTACGAGGGTGGCTGAAGTGATTTAGCTGACCCCACTATGCCTTGGTAGTCTCCACGGCACTGCCGCCGTTCGGCGTCGGTGGCGGTGGCGGCACCGCCACAGGCGGCAAACTTGCAGCCAGCTGTGGGAGGGCCCTGCCACGCCCCGCATGCCCCCTTTGACCTTGCTGACCTCCAGAACACAGGCTGCGGCCAGCCAAACGGTGCGGGAGGCTTGTTTTCGGGAGGCAACCTTTAGGCAAGCGGGCCCATCAGGGTGCCTCCCGCGATCAATCGCTGCCTCCCTGTACCTCAGCGGATGCCATGAGACCCAACCGAGCAGCCCGGGCCTCACGGGAAGCCAGGAGCAGCGCTTCCCGAGATGGCGCGGGCTGCTGCCGCCGGCGGCGGCTCCCCAAACGCCTTTTTGTGACTAAATTGACCTAGAAGGAGCTGCTGCCAAGCGGCGGTATCGAAAAGGCGAGAAATGTACATGGATCAGCCGAAATGGCTGGGGTGCCCCCCCTCTGATGAGGCTTTGGCCATGTCTTTTTACAAGAGCAAGATTGCAGGCCCCCGATACACACCTGGCCTCTCAGGCTACCACCCAGCACCGCAACTAGCTGCTTGCTACACGAGCCATCGCCCCGTCGACGCCTGACCACCTCCGATATTCCAGACTCCCGAATCCCAGGTGGAGCTTGAATCCAAGCTTGTGTGAGGGCATTGAAATTGCTCCCGAATCAGCCCAGCTTATCGATGTACTTCTGTACTGCCGCTGCATCGGCGTGGGAAGCCCGACTCCTTCTCTTCTTCTTCGTCGTCTTCTTCTCCTCCTTTTCTACTGAAAAATCACGCATGGCAAGCGTGCTGCACCCACCGCTTCGGACCGCTGGCGCGACTGGCCTCGAGAGGTGCCAGGGGGCCTGCCCCCTGCCCCCTGCCATCTGCCGCTGTGTCCACTCTACCACCTCCATTCTGGCACACTGCTGGGCATGCACTCACTCCCTTGTCCTGATCACCCGGTCAAGGGCCCCTGCCCCGCCAGGCTGCACCGCACTGCACTGGGCGGGATGGCAACCCGCCCACAATCGAGCGGGCGACAAAACGCCTGTTGCAACACACTGGCTAATGGGTGCAGCCTCTGCGCAACCCGGTAACTTGATTGACTGTGGTACCCGAGCCCTCTGCAGCGGCGGTGGCCCTGGCGGCACGCTGGGGCGGTGGCCGCCCCGCGGCAGTGTGGCCGCCCCCAGCCGAACTTTTCCGGTTTTGCTTGATAGCAAAAGGGCTCGATGTCAGCAGCAGATCCTACTGTACCCGCTTTGAAGTTGGGCGAGAGGTCTGGGTGGTCTCTGGACTCAAGCAGGAGGCAGGTTTTCGCGCCCCTCTTTGCCACGTTAGTGCCCACGTGCCACACGCTGCTTTGCAAGCGTTTGCCCCTCTTTATGAGCTTTCGGAGCGGCGGCCCCAACATGGCCGGCGAGGCGTGTGCCGTTGCTTTAAAGCTTGTACTATTGTGCGCACTCGCGGCGGCGCTGGACTGGCCCAGAGGAGCAAAAGGGGGCATTGGGCAGCAGAGCGCGTCCCTGCCCCATCAGGCTTCACAGCGCAGGCTGGTTCACACGCGCTTGCTAGGCCAGGTAGAGAAATTGCATGAATGGTTGCATCCACGAATGAAGGTTGTCTGTGGCCAGCCACATAGGCGGCGCCGCCGCCAGCAGTCCCATCGTATGACCAGTCGTTGGCGTTCACTGATCTGATGGACTTGCATCTGCTTCGCTGCACGCTCCCAGGCAGCACCAGAGCCGGCGATGGCATCATACGGTCAGGCGCAGCTGCTGCCGCCCAATGGGACCACCGAAGGCGGCGGCAGCGTGCTGCTGCCCAACCTGGCACCCATAGGCACGCCGCTCGTCGCCGCTGCGGAAAACGTGCAGCCTTCCATGGCCGCCTGCATTGGCGCCTGCCGTCTGAACAAGCAGTGCAGCGCAGTGTGGTTTTGCGAGGCACAGGTGGGCACATGTCGACAGCGAGTGGCATGGCCTCCCATCAGGGAACTGCAGGCTTACGTGCCCGCTCCCACGTTCGCAGGGCGGCTGCTCCAGCGCCGCCTACAATCTGTCAGCGCCCTACCACGGCTGCCAGCTGATCGATCAGGTGGTGACCAGGCCGGGTACGGGGCGGCCGGTGCTGCTGGTTGCAGCACCCACATTCACGGGAGGTACGAGGCTGCCGGGCGGGCCAGATGGGCGGTTCTGGGTGGCTGTAGCCAGGAGCGCCAGCTTAGACATGGGCTCCCCCCCTTCTTTCCCGCACCGCAGGCGCGCCACTGCGCTATGCCGCCCCGCAGATTGAGGGCTATGAGGCCCATCCCGGCCTCGGCTTGTGGTACCGGTGGGCATGAAGTGGGCATGGTGCTAGCCAGTCGCCGCCGCTGCCGCCCCTGCTGCTCCACCACCCACCCTGCCCTGTCCTCCAGGTATGACCTGACCAATTGCGCTGACTCTATCTCCCAGCCCGGCAGCTGCGGGCTGGAGGGTGGGCCGCAGCAGGCCATGGCACGGTGCGACGAGGACCCCGCCTGCCAGGTCATGGTGTGGTTCCCCGACGGCCGCGACTACCCGGGGCCTGGCAAGCCAGTGGTGCTGCTCAAAGGGGGGCAGGACGTCACGCTGGACATTACCGACGCCAACATCAATTTGAATGCCGTGCTCTACAAGAAAATGGCCCTGCATCTGGAGGGCGCCGGCGGGCTCACCGCCGGCGCTATTGCAGGTCTGTGGGGTGGGGTGGCGGACCTATGTGGTGACAGACAGTGCAAAGCCACTGGCAGTGCAGCAGACCGCCTGCCATCCTCCCAGCTCATCAGGGAGGAGTTGGAGGGTTTGAGGCTCGTGCTGTCGCCCTCTTTCCGATGGCCCCTGGCGCAGGGATTGTGATTGGCGCGTGCTGCGGCGCAGGGCTGGTGGTAGCGGCAGGCATCTTCATGGTGCGCTGGCGGCGGCGGCAGCGGCAGGCAGAGGGGTGCAGGGCTGACGAGGACATGAAGGTGCTGACCGCAAACAGTCTTGCCGCTCTAATAGCAGCATGGTTTGGCAGAGAAAATGCAGGTTACCAATCCCCGCAAACATTCATATGTGGTTGCCTTCGTGTGGTTGCCTCGATCACCTTTGCCATGCTGTCAAGCACCGGCGCGCCCCATTCCACACTCCTCCGCTCCCCATGCCACCCATGCAGGCTGCTGGAAGCGGCTTAAGCGAGGCCCTCAGCAAGCACAGCGGCGTCGAGGTGGCGCTGTGCGGCACAGGCAGCGGCAGCAGCAGCTACTTCACTTGCATCAAGCCAGCACCATTGATGACACCCTCACTTACAGGGCCGCCGGCTCAACGGGCGACCCACTTGGCCCAAGTGAGCGTGCCAGTCAACACTGCTGGGAGCCTGCCACCCGGGGACTTGAACAGCATGGTGGCAGCACGACCAGCAAAGGCGCTGGCCCCTTGTCCCGTGACCCCACTACCAACAGCCGGCAACAGCGTGATGACTGGCTGCCCTGTGGCCTTCCCTCGCCACGCCAGCACAGTTCCAAGCCCCCCCCAGCTGCACATCTTGTCCCACCTGCCTACCTACGGCTGGCAGCGCTGCGTTGTCGACTTCTCAGCCATCCAGTTTGTGTGCGGGACCGACGGCAGCCCCCAGGAGCTCGGGGCGGGCGCCTCTGCCACGGTGAGCGGAGGCGGCAGCCGGGGAGGCCAGCCAGGGAAGCTGTGGCGCCCCTTGATCTGCTGCTGTCTTGTGGCCCCCAGCTGCCAGCAAGCCGGTGCTGGATCCGCCCAACCCGCTACCACCGTCCCGCCCTTTCCCACCCTGACTGACTCCCGCTGCCCCGCCCCCCCCCCCCCCC